TGTAATCCCAGCAGTTTGGGGGGTCGAGGTGGGTGGATCACCTGAGGTCAGAAGTTTGAGACAAGCCCTACCAACATGGCGAAACCCTAAAGATACAAAAATTTTTGTATCTACTAATGATACACAAATTAGCCAGGCGTGGTGGCAGATGCCTGTAATCCCAGCTAGTCAGGAGGCTAAGGCACAAGAATTGCTTGAACCTGGGAGGCAGAAGCTGCAGTGAGACAAGATCGCGCCACCACCTTGGAGACAGACACACCATCTCGGGAAAAAAAAAACCCCCAAAAACAAAAAAAACCGGATCGTGACCTTACTGTCTCCCTTGTGGTTTCCTCATTTGGGAAAAAGCAGGTAATACTAGTGCTTACCTGACAGTTGTCAGGATGAAAAGATTACCCTCTGGAAAGCACTTGCAGTGGTGCGTATCAGTTAGCTCAACTATCTGCAACTTCCCGTTATCCACACAAAGGCGGAAGTGTCCTGGTTAAGATGCAGATGTGAATGTTTCTGGCAGGACTCAGGCTTGCTCTTGTGATCCAGTTCTACAAAGGCAAAACTTGGTAGATTGGGGAATCTGGGACCCTCCTCTGCCCCAGCCCTGGCCCTCCTGCCCTAAAAGGCAATCTTCCAGCACACTTTGCCCCCCGAGGCCATGGGGCCTTTGTACATGCTGTCTCTTCTGTGTCTCACCTCCTCACTTCCCCACCTTGGCCTGGCTACCACCCAGCCCCAGGAGAGAGGTCTCTCCAGGAAACCTGCTCTGACATCCCAGGCCAGGGCTGGTGGTGACCAGGCCAGTGGCTCTGGCACCAGCAGAAGCTTGGCCCTCATAATCACTTTGAGATGGAATGAGAATGGAATGAGGGTCTCTCCATCCAGCAGGAAGTGGCCACACCTTCCACTGGTTTTCATAAACAGCAGCCAAACAGCTAAACCTTTCACCGTCATTTCTAATTCACCCTGCAGTATGCACCTGCTACATGCTAAATGTGGAGGGGAATGCATGGGGGCAGTCACACCCAGTCCTGCTTGTCAGGAGTTGCTTATTGTGAAATTCCATACTGCAGTTATGCAGTACAGGAGCATAACTGGATTGTGTGTGTTTACATCGTGGCTGTTTAACCTTGTCCTTTTTTTTTTTTTTTTTTGAGATGGAGTTTCTGTTGCCCAGGCTGGAGTGTATTGGCATGACCTTGGCTCACTGCATTCTCTGCCTCCCAGGTTCAAGTGATTCTCCTGCCTCAGCCTCCTGAGGAGCTGGGATTACAGGCATACATCACCACGCCTGGCTAATTTTTTGTATTTTTAGTAGAGATGGGGTTTCACCATATTGGCCAGGCTGGTCTGGAACTACTGACCTCAGGTGACCCGCCCGCCTTGGCTTCCCAAAGTGCTGGGATTACAGGTGTGAGCCACCGCGCCCAGCCACCTTGTCCTTTTGTTTCTGAATCCTTTTCTTCATCCTCTAAACCCACCCATCCTACCCCACGACCCTCCCAACCCTCTCCAGATGAAGATGTACGGGGCCTTGGCAGTTGGCGTGAAAGCCGCTGGCCACCCAGGTGGCGATGCATTCCTCCATTCTTGTCCTCTAGCTGTCCCAGAACTCTTAATGGTGCTTGCTTGGATATTAACGGTTTGAGAGAGGCCTCACATGGATTCCCACATGTACCAACTTGAAGCAAATAACGATGAATATCTTGAAACTAGAAACAGCGGCTCTACCATTTTTAAAAAATATATGGGGTCACTGTGTTGCCCATAGTGGGCTCAAGCCATCCTTCCACCTCGGCCTCCCGATAGCAGCTACAGGTGTGTACCACTGTACCAGTACTTTTTTGAGACAGTATTGCTCTGTCGCCCAGGCTGGAGTGCAGTGGCCCGATCTCGGCTCACTGCAAGCTCCGCTTCCCAGGTTCACGCCATTCTCCTGCCTCAGCCTCCTGAGTAGCTGGGACTACAGGCGCCCTCCACCACGCCCGGCTAATTTTTTGTCTATTTAGTAGAGACGGGGTTTCACCGTGTTAGCCAGGATGGTCTCGATCTCCTGACCTCGTGACCCGCCCGCCTTGGCCTCCCTAAGTGCTGGGATTACAGGCATGAACCACCGCGCCCAGCCCCTGCACCAGTATTTTTTAATCATTACATTCCACCAATATTTCTTTTTCTTTTCTTTTTTTTTTTTGTTTTTTTTGGAGACAAAATCTCACTCTGTCACCCAGGCTGGAGGGCAGTGACATAATCTTGGCTCACTGCAACCTCTGCCTCCTGGGTTCAAGCAATTCTCCTGCCTCAGCCTCCCAAGTAGCTGGGACTACAGGCCACACG